GCGCCTCCAAGGCGCGGCGGGACCAGATCAACGCCGAGATCCGCGCCCTACGCGACCTCCTGCCGCTGCCCGAGGGCGACCGCCCGCGCCTCTCCTACCTGCACGTCATGGCCCTCGCCTGCATCTACACCCGCAAGGGCGCCTGTCTCCGTCCCGGTGAGGTTGGGTGGTTTTCGGGGCGGCGCGGGATGGGGAACGGGGTTGGGATGGGATGGGGATGGGGATGGGGGGAAGGAATCGGTACTGGGATGGGAGAGAGCGTTGGGATGGGAGAGAGCGTTGGGATGGGATCGGGCTCTGCCACCGGGATGGGACTGGGTATAGGCACTGGGATGGGGTCGGGCTCCGCCACTGAGATAGGACCGGGCATTGGCAGCGGGATGGGACTGGGCTCTGCTATCGGGATGGGACTGGGGTCTGCCACCAGGATGGGTTCGGGCTCTGCCACCGAGATAGGACCGGGCATTGGCACCGGGATGGGAATGGGCATCGGGATGGGACCAGGCATAGGCAGAGGACCGGGTATCAGCACCGGGATGGGACCGGGAATCAGTATCAGGATGGGACCAGGCGTTAGCACTGGGATGGGACCGGGGATGGGCACTGGGATGGGACCGCGGGAGAGGGACCGGGACGGGGGTAACGGTGACAGGGACCGGGATGGGGACCAGGAGAGGGAGCGGGAGAGGGACCGGGACGGGGGTAACGGTGACAGGGACCGGGATGGGGACCAGGAGAGGGAGCGGGAGAGGGACCGGGACGGGGGTAACGGTGACAGGGACCGGGATGGGGACCAGGAGAGGGAGCGGGAGAGGGACCGGGACGGGGGTAACGGTGACAGGGACCGGGATGGGGACCAGGAGAGGGAGCGGGAGAGGGACCGGGACGGGGGTAACGGTGACAGGGACCGGGATGGGGACCAGGAGAGGGAGCGGGAGAGGGACCGGGACGGGGGTAACGGTGACAGGGACCGGGATGGGGACCAGGAGAGGGAGCGGGAGAGGGACCGGGACGGGGGTAACGGTGACAGGGACCGGGATGGGGACCAGGAGAGGGAGCGGGAGAGGGACCGGGACGGGGGTAACGGTGACAGGGACCGGGATGGGGACCAGGAGAGGGAGCGGGAGAGGGACCGGGACGGGGGTAACGGTGACAGGGACCGGGATGGGGACCAGGAGAGGGAGCGGGAGAGGGACCGGGACGGGGGTAACGGTGACAGGGACCGGGATGGGGACCAGGAGAGGGAGCGGGAGAGGGACCGGGACGGGGGTAACGGTGACAGGGACCGGGATGGGGACCAGGAGAGGGAGCGGGAGAGGGACCGGGACGGGGGTAACGGTGACAGGGACCGGGATGGGGACCAGGAGAGGGAGCGGGAGAGGGACCGGGACGGGGGTAACGGTGACAGGGACCGGGATGGGGACCAGGAGAGGGAGCGGGAGAGGGACCGGGACGGGGGTAACGGTGACAGGGACCGGGATGGGGACCAGGAGAGGGAGCGGGAGAGGGACCGGGACGGGGGTAACGGTGACAGGGACCGGGATGGGGACCAGGAGAGGGAGCGGGAGAGGGACCGGGACGGGGGTAACGGTGACAGGGACCGGGATGGGGACCAGGAGAGGGAGCGGGAGAGGGACCGGGACGGGGGTAACGGTGACAGGGACCGGGATGGGGACCAGGAGAGGGAGCGGGAGAGGGACCGGGACGGGGGTAACGGTGACAGGGACCGGGATGGGGACCAGGAGAGGGAGCGGGAGAGGGACCGGGACGGGGGTAACGGTGACAGGGACCGGGATGGGGACCAGGAGAGGGAGCGGGAGAGGGACCGGGACGGGGGTAACGGTGACAGGGACCGGGATGGGGACCAGGAGAGGGAGCGGGAGAGGGACCGGGACGGGGGTAACGGTGACAGGGACCGGGATGGGGACCAGGAGAGGGAGCGGGAGAGGGACCGGGACGGGGGTAACGGTGACAGGGACCGGGATGGAGACCAGGATGGGGACCAGGAGAGGGACTGGGACGGGGGTAACGGTGACAGGGACCGGGATGGGGACCAGGAGAGGGAGCGGGAGAGGGACCGGGACGGGGGGAACGGTGACAGGGACTGGGATGGAGACCGGGATGGGGACCGGGATGGGGACCGGAAGAGGGACCGGGAGAGGAACCGAGAGAGGGACCGGGATCAGGGATGGGATGGGATGGGGGGAACAGTGACAGGGACTGGGATGGGGGGAGCGGTGACAGGGACCGGGACAGGGACCGGGATCAGAGCTGGGACCAGGGGAGACACAGGGATGGGGACCGGTGACAGGGACCGGGATGAGGGTCAGGATGAGGACCTGGGATCAGGACAGGGATCGAGATGAGGGCCAGGGACCGGGGATCAGGGCGGGGACAGGGGGACGGGGACAGGGACCGAGACCAGGGACAGGGACTCGGGATCAGGATCGGGCCCCATGAATGGGACAAGGACCAGGGCTGGGGCAGGGGGACCAGGACAGGGACTGAGACCCCAGGACTTGAACTGGGGCTGGAACTGGGTCAGGAACCAGGACAAGGACCAGGACTGGGGCTGGGGATCAGGGCTGGAGCCAGGGGACAGGGATGGGGACAGGGACAGGAACTGGGCATGGGGACTCCCATGGGTCCATGTGGGTGATGCTGTGGGTCCTGCCAGGGCCACCATGGGTCCGCCTGGGCAAGTCTCTGGGTGCCACCGGTGACTCCATGGGTGGTGCTTTGGGTGGCCCAGGGCTGGGGGGACGGGACGGGACTGTGCAGGGTGCTGGATGGGTGCTGGATGGGTGCTGACGAGTGTCCCCATTGCAGGCCCAGCGCGGGGAGCACCCCTGGAGCTGCTGGGGGGGCCGGAACTGGCCGACCTGGTGGCGTCGCTGCCCGGGTTCCTGCTGGCCGTCACCCGCGAGGGGAAGCTGGTGGGCGTCACCGACAACGTCGCGCAGCACCTGGGGCACTCCATGGTGGGCACCCGCACATGGGGATGGGGTTGGGTGCTGGGTGGGTGCTGGGTAGCGGTGGCTCTGGTGCTGCAGGACGATGGGTGTTGGGTGCTGGGGGGCACTGGGTGCTGATCCTCCCCCCCCCCAGATTCCTGATGGGTGCTGGGGGGTGCTGGGGGGCACTGGGTGCTGATCCTTCCGCCTCCCCCCGTGCAGGTGGACCTGGTGGCGCAGGGTGACAGCATCTACGACCTGCTGGATCCGGCCGACCACCCCCTGGTGCGACATCAGCTCACCCTGCCCGGGCCCCCCCAGGCAGGTGGGTGGGGGCTCCGAGGGGGGCAGGGCCGGGG